TATTATAGATTTCGAAATTTTATAAGATTGTACAAGAACTATTATTTATAATTTCCACTTCTCAAAAAGTTACCTTACAAAATCTTTGTATTTTCTTTTAAAAGCATAATTATATTATACGTATGTTGAAAAAAATAAAAATAATAGATTTAAATAATAATCTTTCTCAAATGAAATAAATTTGAATATTTACATATTTAAAATTGTTTAATAATGAATGTTATTTGAATTTTATGCAAAATTCTGTAGCGTTATTTCAGTTATCGGTATGTATTTGTTAAGCGCAATCGCGCGCGAAACGCTTTCACATTCGTAAAATATATCCTGATCAAACTAGTCATTAAATAAAAGTATCGACATTGCGTTAAAGTTATATGCCATACAAAAATTACAAGATGCACTTAAACTGTGTCGCGATCAAATATTACCTATTTAAATAATAAGAATAGAAAATTAAATGCTCTTTGGCAAGTTAAAATAAAATGTAGTAATAAGATTATTATTTTTTATTTCAAATGTAGTCACTATTAAGATAAATCTAATAGAATAATGAAAGAGAGAGAATAAACAATTAGAACAAAATAATTAGATTATTTTATAGAGAGAGAGAGAATTTAGTTTATTCATATATATTTTGTTTTACAATATTACTTAAAAGGCATTTGTTATGATTCATCGAATCTTATTGTATAAAATTACAGTTATGTGATGATACTAGATGATATTACGAATTTACAGTTACGATGATTCACACATATATCTTTTAATTGTAGTTTCACCTTTTAAACGTAGAAAGACGTACAAAATAATATAAAGAAATATATGATTAAAATTGTTATTATATGATATTTATCATTATAGCAGAAAAATAAGAGATTCTCGTCCTCTCTCTCTCTCTCTCTTTCTCTTTCTCTTGACTCTTACGGTATTTCCTATATGTTTGCTCTCACTAGAGCGACTCTTAGAAGTATGCACAGATTCATTCTCTCAGTTTAAATGTGTGTTTTGAGCACACAGCGTCCGTTTTGCTACTTCATCGCCGATATTTCGCACGCTGGTATGACGCAAACCACAAGGCAGTATGTATAGTGATGTAAAAGGTGGTCCTTGTAATAGCAGAAACCGTATATCCGTTTGTCCGGCCATTCTCTCGGACACGCTGTCGGTCACGTGCGTCGGCCAATTCACGTGGCATCAGGCGTGTTGTACGCTAAAAGCTGTAGCGCATAACGTATATATATATAGCGTATATCTATATATGTGTCAGCTTAGCCTCTTTCAATCCTTGACCGGATTGAAATTCAATTTTGTTTTCATAAAAATAGATCGCATACGTTTAAATATCATCTATATAAATACCCTTCATTTTATATGAAAATTTTAACAGATGTAATAAATTAACCAATTTTGCTAATCTGAGAGACAGGAAAATGATAGTGTTATTTTCTATTTTTCCGAATGTATTGTAGCGTATCGAAAGCAACCAATCAAGCGTTGCTGCTTTATCTTTTAAAGTCGAATGTTTAACGGCGACCTTTTCTGCCTAAATATATGTGCAGTATCGATTGGCCGCGACGAGTTTCAGAACTGCTACTTCGAATTAGCAACCGTGTAATTTCAATGGTCGTGTAATTTCAAATGCCACTGGATAAACAGGATAAATAGAGTTGTTCCAGTGAATAAACTCCAAGCACAATAGAGTAAGAAATAAAAATCTGAAGAGCGACACATACGACAAATATTAATTCAAACGTACTTCTCGATACGGAATTTAATACATTATAACTATATTTAATAAACTAACTAATATTAAACTATAAAAATAATATATATA